TCTTCCTGCCAGGGCCATCCCCTCGGATGGCGGGAGAGTTCGTGCGGGTGCGCGTCAAAACTCGGATCCGGGAACGCAGGCAGCAGAGCCTTTGCCCTGGCCTGTGCTCTCACACGAGCCTTCCTAAACTGTCCCCAGGGCCACTGTTGGATCCCCCAGGGAGGGAGAACTCAGAGTGCAGAAACTGAAGTGCAGCTTCTTTCCATGAGATTGCTGGGCAACGTGAAGGCAGCCTTGGTTTGGGGCACTAAACGTTGCACTGGACAGTGGGACAAGCAGCTGCCAGCAGAGAGGTGTGAGTGGGACAGCATTGCTCTTTTGTGTAAAATCCTGTGAGAAATGCGTGTATATGTATACATACAATGTATACAAGAAATAACATTTTTCACTTTCTTCCTCCCACAAAACACCATTCAGCAGCTCACCCCTCTGTACGATCTGCTAAAGGAAGGCCTCGGTCCAGCACAGAGGACTTTGGGGCTGCATTTCTCTCAGCCTTACTTTCTTCAGGCTTACGGGGAACCGTCAGCTGATTTACCGCAGACCCATGGCTGCCTGTGCTGAGGCTGGCATTTGGCCAGGCACAAAGGGACAGCAAGGAAAACAGGCAGGGTAGCAACCTGGGCAAAAGAGCTCAGATTTAGCAGAATGAATCGCAAGTGCACACAAAATACCCGTAGCCAGACCAGCTCATTTGAAGAAGGCACCTCACATGATTATCAGGGCAACTCCACCCTTTCTCCTTTTCTACGCATTCTACTACTTTTTCAGGGGGCTCCATAAAAAAGCACAAAGCCAGAGTCTAGGCTTGAGGTTAAAAAGCTACTACACACCATATAGGAAGTTATTTAAACTTGTTGAATTAGTTTTCTTGGTGAAGAAAAAAAGATCTCCCCATTGCACCATTCTTTTTACCTAGAAAATAACAGAGGAACCTGTGCTGCAGAAACGGACAGCAGCTGTGCAGCAGAGAGAGGAGTCGTCCTGAGTGCTTTAGCCTTGTAGTAGGGGAAGCAGAGGTGGGAATGCTGCTGAGCAGAGTGCTCTGGGCTGCTCCCTACAAAGTTACGTTATATGCTTGTTTGCCCCGGAGCACATGAGCTTGGTAAGTTTTACCTCAGTCTCTTGGCAGCAACCAAAACTTAAAGAGTACTTTTCCTCCTCTCCATAGCATAGGCAGGGCACCCCTGCGTGGTTTTCTGCTCTACTTTGGAGAAGCTAGAGCCAACTGAGCTGTTTCACAACATCGCGGTTGGACTTTCACAGGCAACTGTGTGGAAGGAGCTCGGCAGGCAGCCCTGCTCCCAGAACCGTAAGCCTGCCCTGCCCTCATGGCACGCCAGCACTTGATGACAGGTTGTTAAAACAGTGCTGACAACTTGCCAGAGGAACTCAGCTCACTCCTAGCTCCTCTGCAGGCCCTGTAAGCCCTGCGCGAGTTGTTTTATCCCACTGGGGCTTGGTTCCCAGCTGTGGGACCGAGATAAGCCGCTCGAGCGCATTCTGCGTTCATAGATCTGGAAGGGCTTTGGGCTGAGCATGTTTGGTTTTTTTTCCTGCCAGGGTAACTATAAGTTTCCAAGCATATGGCCCTTCGATACCCCACAGCCAAGCAAATACTTGGCTACAGCTTCTCACTGTCACTGTTGTGAGCAAAACACACCTGCGGCAGCAGCGCTGACAGAGCCCCGTGCAGCCGAGCTGGAAGCAGCACGTTCTGACCCCGCTGCACAGGATGCACCAGCCCCCGGCCGCACTGACACTCCCCTGTGAGCCAGGCTGGGGGTAGGAAAAGAGGGAAACTTTGGAAGCAAGCCTGAGGGAGGACAAGGCCTGTACCAGGTCAGCTATTTACTGCCAGGAGCCTCCAGGGGAAGCTGAAGGATTCTCGGAAACCTTGGAGCTCAGCAATACTCTACTGCCAGTTTTCCCCACAAGGCCATTTTTTGTTTTCCAGGATTTTAGGATAACACACAAAAGTAGTATTTTAACACCTAAGAGAGGAAGGAAACGTGTGGCGCTCTAAAATGTCTCATGCACCTGCTGTGCTGAGCCAAAGATCTCGAACGTGATGACTGTTGGTCAAGTCTCTCCTGCTTGTATTGCCTTTTAAAACCATGGAGAGATTTTAGGTTCCCTTGGCTCTGTACGATTTGGATCATTTCTTTCTGAAGGAATTACCTTTTAAGCTCTAGTAACAGAAGCCAGCATTTCTTCTGCAGTTTTAACTAGGCATTCAGAAATGGGGTGCAGATCCCCAGCTTCTGAAGGCTCTGCAATTTCCACTTCTTTTTGTGTGATATAAAGATCAGAGCTGCCTCTGTAAAGAATTACCATTTACAACTCCATCTTGCCTAGAGGTTCACCAGGAGGTTCTCTACTTCATTCACTTGAATAAACGATTGATGAGAACAGTTGATAACAATAAAAGAGGGAAGGCTGGATGCCACAAAACATCAGCAGTGAAACACTTCAGATCTCCAAGGTCATTTGCAACATACCTAAATGGAGCAGTGACTCGGAAGGCAAGCATTCCTTCTGAGCAATGGAGAGGCTGCACTGAAGAGCAGGACGTGGAATCTGGGAGTTCAGGCAGTGCTTCACTCAGCTGCCTGTCAAATGAGTCACTTAAATTTCAACAATATTTAAATAACAGCCTGCATCTCCAAGGCAGCTAGCAGCAGACAAAACACTATAAGCACAGCACAAGTATTTCCCTGGCAGTCTCAGATGTTGTGGAAGATGACGGTGCCTCCGTTCACACTGACCTGATGGAGCTCTGCAGTTGAGTTTTGATTAGCAAATAATCCAGACAGAAACCTCTAAGAAACAGGACTGTACAGACCACAGCAAGAAGCTTGAGCTGCCTTGCTACCCCTGTTGAAGTGTATTTCACAGAACACTGCTCCACCACTTCCAACTTAGCAGCTGGCAGGCAGGTCAATAGGCAGTCCCAGCGAGAGGCACTGCTTCTATTAGTGATAAATGCTGCGGTGCCTGGGAAGGCACAGGGCTGGGAGTTAGGACCCGTGTTTGCCAAACAGCTTTCCAAACGCACCCACTCTGGCTGTCATCAGGACTACTGTGCAGAACAGCCCCAGTTTTAAGAGCTGTGGCTGCTGCATCTACAGGCATCTTTGCCTTCCACAAGCCCTAGCTTTACTCAGAGAGCAAACGCTTCCTTTCCTGGCTTGACTTGGGGAATTTGATTTATCTAGCTGACTGGTCTTGGAGAGACCTTGCAGGACTCCAAGGAGCCTCTGATCCTGATCAAGAGAAACATTTTGTGTTGAAAGTAACGAAGAGGAGGCTAGACAAAGCTGGACAGGCAGCTGGTTTGCTGCTCCAGGAAAGTGCCTAGGGACCATTTCCACTGAGCGTTGCTGCCTTGACCCCTGGGGTGCCAATTCATAATATTGCTGGAGCAGTTTGGCACAGACAACTACAGCGTTTCCAGGCTCCAAGCGGTACCCGCTGGTGGATCACTACTGACACTTCCCAACTGCGCCAGCCAGGCTGGGCTCTCTGGAGTTGATCTGCAGTGGGAAAGCACCCGACCCCAAACAGAGACTGTTCAGCCACAGTATTCTGTCCAAACTGCTGCTAAGACTGAGCACTTTACACCTCTAAGCAGAGGTTTTGTTATCTTCCATCCCATTTGCCATTGCGCGATAGGAACAGGCAGCGGGTGAGAAGGCAGCGGGCCTGGCAGAACGCTGGCAGGAAGCGCTCTGCAGTCCAGCGGAATTCAGATGTGCAGACTGAAGTGCAGAGGCTGACCCATTTTGGAAAGTCCTATTTTTTCAGCCAGTAACCTGAAAAGGTATTGACACTTAACATTGTGTTTTTAGGAGGGCAGAACTGTGTCCAGCTGCAGAATGGATGCAAAAGCAGGGCTGTCTGGAGGTATTAGTAGATAGAAAATAGAGTAATAGACTTACAGGCACTTAATTTTCTAGGTTTCTTTAAGCACCATTCTTTAAATGTGC